TGGTTTAGGTCCAGTGATCGCAATCATGGCCTCTGAACTTGAATGATCGCAATCCCCAAGTTACCACCACTGATCTGAAATGCATGAGTGATCGTAATCCCCACACATCACAGATTCTTAAGCCGAAAGGCTCTATCCACGATGCGCAATGCCTAATATACTAAACACACAAATTATTTGCTTACTTCCCTATTGCTTCAATCCTTCATTAAATATGTTCGTTTTGAAAGTTTTTCCAAGCAATAAAGGTGACTGATTATATTTTGGTAATAGCAAACTAACTTTAATAGCATAACCCTGAAGCAAGGAGGTACCGAAAGAATAACAGCACAACGTATTTTAACAACTATTAAGCGCAAATCACTTTTTACTTTCCTTACCCGTTTGTAGAAAAGAGTTGTTCGTTAGCGAAACCTCGGCTATCGACTCAAAGTGCGAGTTTTTTTAATCACCCGTAATATAGAGTAGTGAGAAAAGATTGTTTGCTGTACTTACGCTTTAGAGACGGAGATGTTATAAGCGACGCGCGTAATAAACTGAGGCGTTTGCGTGTATAGTTCGTAAACTTTGATATGACAAGTCGTGGAAAAGTATTGTTACGTTTGTACGTTTAAATCTACATACGTTGTATTACGCCTTGGAGAGAACTCGTTGTTTGGTTTTGTCCGTGTCAGTGCGTGTAATATAGAGTGCGGCAAAGAATTGTTCGATAACTTGTTCGCTTAATTATAGTCTGTGCGTAGATGACATGTGATAATAACAATTACTTGTCACACGTAACTTATATACGCGATAAGGGGTGTGAGATTGCAACTGTGACACATATGACATAATATCGCGATTGTTCTGTAAACAAAAACAATAAAATTAGTTGTTTTTTTTCATTGAATAGTCGACAAGCGAATAACGAATCCACCAATTATTGACTAACCACTTAATCAATAGCCGTTAATACCAAACTTTTTATCGCAGTAATCTATTTATTGGCTATCAAACATATTTTCATTGCAACGGAACAATCGCGCGCTTATCCAAAGGCCAGTGCCTAAACGTTTACGCCGAAAATAGGCTGATTTGTGTACCAACCGTACTCACAACTCGATGCAGTATCCATTGTTGTACTCAACCGAGAGCCGAAACAAATCCCGAATTGATTGTTGCAGAACGGTTTGCGAAATTTATTACCCATAAAGTACCGTCTCCATCGTATACGCCACCATTGTTTATATCACCAATAAAAAATCAAGCTTTGACTATTATTTTAACGCTATATTTGAAATGGCTTGGCTCGTATAACAGCCGAGCTGTCTTGTAAATATTAATTATTGTATCTCGGTCATCTCGGCCGAAAGCCGAAACAGATTCCGAATTGATAGTTTCAGAACGGTTTGCAAAATTATATTATCCATAAAATTTGTCAGCCTAGCACTAAAGTAAGCAACCGGCCCGTATGGTTTGCGATCAAAAAAGAATCGTCTCCATCGTATACGCACTATTCAAAAATTTTCTCTTATTGTTTATCATGACGCAATCACCAATAAGAAATCAAGCTTCGACTGTTATTTTAACGCTACATCTAAAATGTCTTATGTGTCTCGGTCTACACAGAAACGCATGCAAAACTGACCCCGAAGTAATAAAAGAATACCAAAATTAGTCAACTTTTCATACAATTGCATATTAAAATACATTACCTGCATAACAAAATAGTAATAATATTATAACCGAATAAATATGTTTAGACAAACTATTATTAAGACAAACATAAAAACGTGCTAACTAAAAAATAATACCGTACCGTTAATTTATTATTATTATGTCAATTATGCCTGACATAATAATAACTGTCCACAAAATACAAGCCTTCAATGTCCCCCGGTATAAGCATATTTTACGCGTATTGGATTAGAGATGTTAACATCTTAACCGCTACCCACTATTTTAAATCTGTATTGCATTTCAAATACGCGTTTTTCTTATTTTTTCCCCCACAAATTAATGTATTATCATTTATCATAAGTATAAAATATTGTAATAATAAATATCTTACTCGACACATTCAACTTACTATATGCCACTTTCTTTTCAATTTCCCAATGTCTAAATCTTATACCACACAGATACACACATTTTTTTTTCCCTTTTGTCTTTCTACACACAAAAATTGCAACTTTTATTATAATTGTTCATTTCCGGTAATTCTATACATTATTTTCTGTCCCGATTTATTGCTTTCAAAAACAGACAACTTTTATACTTAGATGTCATGTAACGTTTTTTTCGAGTACGAACCCAACATCTGTTCTCAGCAAAGCAAATAATGATGCAAAACCCTCGACAGCAACCATCAAAGTATACCTTATAAATTTATATACTCTGTAAAAATTGGAATAAATCAATAAAACTAACAAACTACCTTTGCATTAATTTAACTACTCGTACTTTACATCCAATTAACATTGTATAGATATTACGACCGGCCGATGAAATTACAAGACACTTCTAATTTTTAACGAATATTTAATATTGTGCGACGATTTGATTTATAACAATCGTGACGTAATACCCAAATTTGGAAGGTATTGGTACAAAATTTGGTTAGTCTACATGCAGCCAAAGGCGGGGCAATTTTTTTCTATAAGTTATATTATAATATTAAATATTAACTTATATATAGAATATAAGTAGTATTAGTATAAATTTAAGTATAAATGTATACTAAATGTTACTTAATTAAATATATATATATGTTATGGTAAGTAAGTATGAACTCAAATTACCCAATATCTCACTTTGTTTGATATAAATTAAATTACACGTATAACGTAATGGGAGGCAATTATAACACCGAAAATCATTTCACCGACGTAATATTTCGCCGACAACGACTACCAAAAAAGGATAATTTCGAAATAATGCTGGTGAATATGTCGGCGAAATGATTTTCGGCTAAATGGTTGTCAGTGAAATATTACGTCGGTGAAATAATACGGACCCGAATTATTTTCCCCAAACATAGCCACATGTATGTACTAATTTTACATATATTTTTATACGAATATAACATAATTCGACAAATAGTATAAAACCAGCAATCTTTTGCGCATTTTACTACAAAAAAGTAACTCAAAAAAAAAATTCACTAAAGCACAAAAATAACAACCTACCAAACTTCCAACTTCCTTTTGCCAAGAAAAAATGATTACATTTATTACTCGAATGATTTTCATTGTCAACGCGCATAACGAACGAATAAATATAAAAATAATCCACAAAGGCCGTGCAATTTCCAATTGGACAATGCTGGCAACTTTCAAAATTTCCAGTTTTGTCAATTTTTACCAGACAATAATTCAACCATTGACGATTCAGATTTTGAAGACAACGGCAACTATCTCTGAAAATGGATATGCTCTTACCCTCCAGGTAAAACCATACCTTAGTAGCACTCAATGCGGTGCATTCGATGTAATCCTAACGCATACAACTGGGGGTTTTTTCAAAAATGCTTTTGACAAAGTAAAAAAATACTCCTCGATATTCGCAACAGGACTCTTATTTTTTACAAATGATCTAATATATTGCGAAATATTAGAATTTTCATTCATCAATACAAAAACTAAAACTGATACTAATATGATTGTTCCATGAAAAATCGAAGATCAAAATATAATAATAATGCCATGCATGCCAATATCTCTCGAAGCCGAAATCCATTCCAGGATTACTGCCATTAAAACATCCTCAGAAAAAGAAAACCTTTTCCTTTCCTCTTCCTCTTCCCGTACAGCCAAAAAAAAGATTTCCCTCCGGAAAACTAAAGTCAGCGAGATAACAAAAGAAATGATATCCAACTCTTTGCGTGATTCGAACGATGATACAGACGTAATAACAGAAGAAAATCACAAAGCTACCATAAATATCGATTCTGAGGAAGATGTTGATACATTACCAATAGTGATAACGACGAAAAAGTAAGTAAACCTAAACAATCAAGGAAACGCAGCAAAACAATAGCAACTAATAACAAAAAAAAAAGAAAGTTTGATTATTTTCTACTCGACCCTCAAATTATTTACATCACAGTAACTATAAAATTTCTCCAATTTAAAAATCTATAATTCTGCATGCTTTTAATCAATTTGCATAGTATTTTCTTGTTGTCACATTTATCTCTACGTACCTTTTTAGTGTGGTTGAATATTATTTAGTATTGTGCATAAATTCAATTTATACAAATCATGACACAATTCTCAAATTTGAAAAATATCAGTACAAATCTAAAAACCAACTTTTAAGTCCTTTTTGGGTAGTTTTTTGTCGGGCAAATGAACCGGACCCCCTAAATATCTTTACACTGCAAAACTTACTTTCCGCCTGCCCGCCAGCGGCGGGCAGGCTACACCTGACCCTCTAGTTAACCTAATAAAAAATATTGACTTTTTGTATTATACCTGTATTATGATAAATAAAAATACGTCATTTAACTACGAATATTCGCTATTGATTTTGAATTACATGACAAAAATATGTTTTCGTTATACTGTGCATCTTTATACATAACAAACCTGCGGCTTCTGAACGAAGAAACTACTATATAATTTGCCAATTATTTATAGTTCTATTATATATATAGGACGGCATTGATACTGATCCTGATAAGTGTCCACACAAATTTGAGATCAGCATATGTAGTTCCTATGCTGCTAGCGAACCTGCACGAGGAGTTAGTTGCCCTTCACAACCAATTAAATACCGCCAACGAGACCATTGACCAATCCTTATATCCCCTAACAACGATGTACCACATCGAAACATTATTACGAGAAGCTCAAACGCGTCGTTCCTCTTTACTCTTACTCATACATCGGTGTTAAACATAACAATATGCAATTAATTCAACTTCATTTATTCATACCTTCTCCTGAAACCTTTATAAAGTTGTTTCTAGGAAATTAACCAGTATCCAAACGTACATTGTTAAACGCGTCAGCCTGATTATTTATTTGATGTGTCAATAAAAACATTAGCCATACAACAAGAATAAAGTAAGTATAATATTGAAGAGGCGAAGACTTTTAGCCATTAGCTTAATTAAGAAGTTTCTAATACTCTGCCCGGAAAAGGCAGCTAATACTAATGGAAAACATGTATGACTTTATTCAGTGTCTTGTTAATCATCCATATTTATATTGACATACTGTATGTAGACGCACATAGTATAATTCGAACCTTTGAATAAAATTTATATAATAATAAACTGCAATAATAATAAACCGTAAATTACGAGCTTTATTAAAAAAGAGGTTGAGTTGCTAAATTATAAAGAATGAAATAGAAAATGTTAATATTAATATTGTAATATTGTAAATTGACATTATTTGTACCAATGCATAACATACCTGCAGCTGAATCCAAATTATAGCTATTTTTTGGTATAGTCAATTCTCCTATAGGTAAGGGTTTACTAGAGTATTTACTCTCCTCGAGACGTGATAATGGTTTTACATCATTATGATAAACGGCATTCCATTTGTTGTTGTCACTAGAATTGTCCCTGTTCGCATCTTTAATAATTTTGCGAATATCATACCGAAGTGTCAATGCATCAGGACGCTTATCAGGATCAGCATCACAACACCGCTCGGCAAGTTTCTTGTATTCCTCGGCT